ATATCATTACAACCAAAAACTATAGAAAAATTAAAGAAAAATAGTTAAAAAAAAAGTATACATAATTATCAGTATATACATGAATAATACCATCTGGATTATAGAAAGAAATTGTAACAAATCATAGAAAAAACAGAAGAATTTTATTATCTAAATGATATAAAAATAAACTTCAAAAGTCTTATCTTACTATTATTAATAAACATGACAATAACTTTAATTAATATATAGCAATAGAAAATTATACTATACATGATTGTTTTCCTAGAACATCAATCAAGATCAAAGAAGTATAGCATAATAGCTTTAATAAAAAAGACTACCAAAAAACCCTAATCCAATATAAGTTTAGAAAAATCAAATTCCTACTAGAAATAAAAAATTTGATGGATAAATAGATACAATATATAATTAATCATGTTTTAATTCTTAGTATCAAATAACTATATAATAATATAATACTCTTTAAAAAAGCATCCAATCTCTTTATACTGTAAGTAATATAACATCTACTTTTAAATACAAGCTAGGTTTAGCCATAACAGTTTTCAACAATATACTGTTTATAAAACATAAATATAATATTATATATCTTTAAAGTAGATAACTACTTTTATATTTCACAAACTGGAGCAATAGAATCAACAAATAAAACAAAGCAAATAATATAGCAAGGACCAAATTATAGTCTATTCAAAAGGAATTCTGATCAACACAATCTATTTTGAATAAACTAGAATATAGCCTAATGAACTTAGAAAAGAATCTCATATATAATATAATCTGGCTTATGAGAAGACATAACTTTATTTTCTTACTTATTCTCAATATAAAGTAGTCTAATACTTATAGAAGAAACTGATATACTAATTAAAAAAATCATGGGCAAAATCTTTTATTTAAAATATTATAAAGAACTAAAGAAGCACAACATTATGTTCCTTAATTAGATATTAAATAAGAGTAAAACAAAAATCCTGAACTGGTACTAAATTATTAAATTGAAAAAAAAAGCAATCCTGGATCCTATTCTTAACTAGTTTATAAGTATTAGCAGAAAGTTAGAGAAAATGATTAAACAGAAAGAAACTCTTAATTCTCAGATTACTGCCTCAAATATATTTATACAAGAAATAACAACATCTGAAACCTCAATTACTAGACTATACTGGATTTACACTATTAAAGAAGACAATGCAGTTATTAAAAAAAACAATAAAGAATTAATCAGTATATAATATAATATAGATACTTTATTTAGAAATCAAAAAGCTTTTCTTTATATGCATACCTTGAATATAATATTAATGTATTAGAAAATAATATCAGTACAAAATAATAATTAATTACTATACTAGTTCAAAAAATAAAATCTCAATAAATAAAATCAACACTATAAATAGAGAACTTCAATAAAAAATAGTATGTCACTTAACTTCCTGACCATTATACTTATGGAATACACTTTATAAGATAATATCAATTTACAAGAAGTCACAATGGAAATTCTGATTCAACAAATCTATAAAGAGCTTTGAAAAACCAAATAGTATAGTAAAAGGTTTTACAGAAAGTCTAAAAGTCTTGAAAACATAAAAAAATAAATATGCAATTATGCAATTTTTAATATTTATACTAATAATTCTTTAACAAAATCAGAAACAAAAACTATATGAGACTAGGGTGAGTTATTATCATTTCATATTAGAAAACATATACTTTTCAAGAACAAATAACCAGATACTCCTTATCAACTAAAGCAGAAATAGCAACTATTTTTACAGCCTTTAGTATCTTATCAGAATATAGTATAACAAATATATTTATTAATAGTCAAGTAATAATTAATAAAATTTTGAAAATACAAAAAAAATGTATTAAAAAGATTATAAAGATATAGAAAAATTATAATATATTGTTGCAAATTTTAGAATAGTACAAAGAAAACAAAATAAAGTTATCATTATTCAAAATAAAAAGTCACTCTGGGATAGAATATATTGAAATAACAGACAAAATTTTTTTATGAAAAGACATGATACCAGGGAAAAAAGAAATTGAAATAGTAGCAATATAAAATTATTTTATTAGAATAACCCCATAATGAAATAACATTCTTACAGAAGTTCTTATAAAAATAATCATAAAAAGCTCATAAGTATTATATAATTGATAAAATAGAGACTGCTAAATAGAACAAAATATAACTTTAGTAATAAAATTATTAAAGAAATAGATTAGTTCACAACTATTATGCATTTGCAACCAATCAAAATAGATAATTATTACATAAACTAGAAAGATCAAAAATTAAAAAAATTTTGCCTTATTATATGGAATAATAAGCTGTAATCAAAAGTGAATTATATATAAAAACCTTCTTATTATATTAAAATAAAATTACTTGATATACAAAGAACCTGAAACTAATATATATCCCTTTGTGTATATATAAACTAGACAGAATACAGAGATATTTCTAACAATACAATAAATTAAATATGTGAAAATACATATTGGAAGGATTAAAAACACAAATTGTACAAATTAGATAAAGAATAAAATCAACTTGTAATATAAAGAATATTTGAAAATAAGTATAAAAAAAGTTTTTTATAAAGAACCAATTAATAATATCAGGAGAACAATTTCAGAAAATTAGTTAGAAAAAGTTGTATTTTTCTAATATATATAAAATTCATTAATTATCTTTATTAAATATGAATAGAAAGATGTGAAACCTTTCAAAAGTGAAAAGTACAAAATAATATCATGAAATAAAAAGAAAAGAAGTTTAAATATGAAACAAAAAAAGAAGATTCAATTTTTATATAAAGAGAAAAGTATATAAAAGACCAGTTTATTTATTTAATTAATAAGTTTATAAAACAATGGATAACAAATATCATAAACAACTTTTACATTCTTGAAATTTATTTTAGCATTAGTTTGACCTTAACAAATTAGTTTTTACCAAAGAAGTAATAACAAGTTATAAGGTGAGTATCTCTTAAAAGAGATTATTTTTATTTAAGTTTTATTTAATAGTAGATTAGTAGTATATCTTAAAAAATTTCTATATAATAATATTGTATAGATATAAATAAAATAAGGCTGAGCCAGCATTAAAAAAAATAAATAAAATTAAGGATTTAAAAATTGTTCAAATTGAAATTTACAGTATAATAAAAACATAATAAATGGACTCAAATTTTTAAAAGCAATTGTATATTTATATATTTTTAAATATTATAATTTGATTTTTATTTTTATACACAATTAAAAAATTTAATTTAATTTTATATTTTTCAAATAATCCAATGATTTTTTTTAATAAATTAGATTTTTGAAAATTAAAAAAAAATAATTTTAAAAATAAGCAATATATATATATATAGTTGCTTTCAAAAGTTTAAGTCTATTTACTATGTTTTTATTATAAATTTTAATTTGACAATTTTTAAATTCTTAATTATACAATCAAAAATTGTAAAATTTATATATATTATATTCTAATACTAGTTTTATTTATTATATTTTTTTCAAAAAAATTTTATATATAATTTTTTAAAATTTTATTATTTTTAAAAATTTTTTTCTTTATCAAATTTTATTTTTGAAGAATTTTGATTGACTGTTACTGTAAATCATATGATAAGTAATAAATAAATAAAGATATTTAAATAGAATAAATAATAAGATATTAAAAATTGTCAAAGTTGAAATTTATAATAAAAATATATTAAGTGAACTCAAACTTTTGAAAACAACCATGTATATTGATTGATTGATTATTTTTGAATATTAATTATTATTAATATTTAAATTTTTGATATCAAATTTTTATAAGCTATTGTATAATAAATTATATCCTTTAACTTGAAAAATTAAAAGAAAAATATCATTTATATATAATATATGTTTAAAAAAAAGTTTTATAAAATAAAAATAAATAAAATAAAATAAAAATAACAAATAAAATAAAATAAAAAAAATTTTTTTATCAAATGATAAAAATTTTTATAAGCAAATAAAGACAGATGGTTTTCTTTTGTTATACAGCATCTTTATATGATTTATTAACTTTTCATTAATTTTTTTTTTACTAAATTGATAGCAAAATAAAAATCATAAAAAAGCTTGCAGCACATCGACATTAAAAAGAATATTAAATTTTATGATTTTGCATTTATCACATACTTGCAAAAATAAAATTTTCTTATTATCTTTAAAAGGTGTAACGATAGCTTAGTTGGGTATTTTATATTGTTCTCTTTTATATCGAGGAGAAAAGCTGCATTAATTTTTTTAGGGATTCAGTTTATCTGTATTACGTAATATGCAGGATAAGCTTCCTACGTTAGTTGTATAAATGCTAATTTAATTTAATGAAGAGAAATCATGAAATTAACAAAGTACACATTATAACATTGAAAATTTTAGTGGATTTATATATGCTTGATCACATTAACACGCTGCCCTACTACTTACTATGTATGCGCCAGAATACAAAGCAAAACTAAATAAAATCAATTCCCTAGTCTATAGAATTTAACACGTGACATCCTTATAACGGAACGAGGTAGATAGTTGAGAAACGTTATTGGTAAAATAAACAATTAAAGGTGCGGAATCTCTCCTTCAGATCGAAAAGGCGTCACTTTTTAAATGAACATACGGAATTTATTAAATGAAGAGTGTGAGATTTCCATAAAAATATAAATTTCTCATTCTTTGTCAGCAACACACCGCATTGGTCATATTGTTTCATATCACAAGATGATGCCTAGGGGTACGATAGTGCATCATTTCCTTCACGCACAGAAAGTTTCGACTTCGTTTGGAACAGGTTTTTTTATTTTATTTTTTTTTTTTGTGTGTGTGTGAATGAAAGGCGAAACACATTGTATCAATGAATATACCGTGTACTTTATTAAACAAAAATTCGTGATCAGGACACAATCATTTTCTAACTATATGTGTCGCCTCAACCTGTAAATTCAAATGGTAGGTGAGACGTCCAAGGTTAGATTCTCATTGTCAATAACGATACCTATGGTGTTGTACCGATTTTGCAAGGTCATTGGCTTGTCAGCTTCCATGGAAACTGAAATGTTGGGATATGATACATAGAATCGACCCGCTACATCCTCCAGATCGATTGTAAATTCTTCGTTTTTTGTATTAATTGGGTTCCATTCATAGTCACTCAACTTCCTTTTACGAGTCGTACTGTTCAAACCTCCCCTACACAGACCATCACCCGTCAGTTGAATGCCTCTATTCGGATCTTCATAGATAGAAGTAACAAACAAAAATTTTGGATCAAGGTCGATCGATTGTTCATTCTTTTCGACCGGTGTCAGCCGAACGATATCCTCTAAACTAATTAACTCAGAACCAATCATTATAGCTTTATAATGTGGAAACTGGCTCATCTTCTTCAAGCGCATTTTCTCCTTAAGATTTCTAATCTTTCGGATCTTGTTAGCATGCTCTATGTGTTTGTAGGGACTAAGAGGAGTGCATGATTTGGATATTATTTTAACTCGTTGGATTGCTTGAACATATAGTTGATGGACACTTGGTTTATCTCCAATATAATTGAAATCAATTAGTACACGTGTAAACATGAAATAATCTAAATTGTAGGATGAGAAAATGTCGGTAATTACCTGAAGGTGATGAACTCTTTGCGATGTCAACATTTGGTTCATACGCAACCCAAGGAGCCATCTTTAAACGATCGATCATGACCTCATCATGCAAACCCACCAGCTGAACACAATAAATGACTTTATACCGTATTGGAGAATCACCGGATGTACTCGTGCCAGCCGATAAACTTGCAGTCGATGGCGAAGCCGCGGTGATCGAAATGGAGGACGTGGGTTCTTCGCACGAATCAAGTATCGGTGCCTTTTTCCTTTCCATCACTATTCCCGGCCAATATCTGATTGTGGCCTTGTGGTCAACCGATTCACCTTTAAGTTCCAACTTCTTGATCTCCAACCTTTCCAGGTCAACCCACACAATCTCACCACATCTGTAAAGTGTGTATATCTTCTGTTCATTTTGAGAAAGTTTGTCGAGCACAAAATTTGAATGTGTTCTCCTTCTCTTTGGCACTGGTGATTGGGATGACACCACCTGCGACAACGGTAACGATGATGATGCTTTCGTACGCCTCTCGATGCCCGTGTATTCCGCAGCGCAATATTTACACCGACAAATCGACGTTTTATTTGTAATCAGCCATATCAAGTGTGGTAAAAATTCTTGTGGGGATTTGTAACAATGGCGACCTAATTTAAACGATAAAAGGTAAAACGATTAATAGTAACAATTCCCGCATGACCGGTGACGTCATGTTGTTGACGCGCGAAACAAAAATTTGGAGCATTACCGTATAAGAATTTATCACTTCTTAGCGAAGTTCTTCCTTTATAACATCTCGTATGTGTTAATAACATGTACCCTTCGGGAAAATTTTCCAATGTTACTGATTCTGGTGCCCATATGAAAAGAGTAAAAAATTTAGGAAATATGGTTCTCATTAAAACACTTCTCCGTAGCCGTAATATTACCCTTTTCTATCTCCATCTTTTCATTATTCCTCAAATACGTAGCAAGACCCTCTCCCAACTTCTTTAACCACATTTGAGAATCCAGATCGCTTAGCGACACACGACGGTAAGAAGAGCCTATACCGTGTTTTTCAAGTGTGAGACCATTCTCCTGAGTCAAATCCGTGGTATGTCCTTTACAATCGGTACCAGTTACTTTTATTCCCTTAGGTGTAATTAAACACTCAATGTTCTTTGATTTAACCCGATCGAAACTCGGATTTCTAAGTTCTTGTTGATTAAATCTTGGTGGGTTCACCTTTAACATTATCAAAGTTCGTACTGATTTTTACAAATCTTTCACTCGGTCTAAAGAGAGTAAGGAAAGGGCTTGAAATGGACTCGTGTGATTTCGTGAAAGCGTGCGGTTGACAAGACCAAAACGATTTTTGTTTTTCAAACGAGAAAAAAAAGTCACGAAGATTTAGGTTTTTATAGATAAATTCGGTGACATTCGGGGGTGATGTTGTGTGCTACTTAAACTCGTGGGCTGATGCAAATGTACGTGTCGTATAATATTCAAAAAAAATTTTTTTTTATTAATGTTGATCAAAAATATAATAATATATACGGTACGTATATGTACTGTAATTCCATTTAACTGTGGAAAAATATAGTTGCGCAGTTTATTGAGCACAGTATATGACTGGGAACTGTATTATCTCCCCTGTACCAATTCCAATTACTCTGGAAGAAAAGAGATGATACCGACAATGATAAATTTTCTTATAGAACCTTTCGACACAAAACGTTGTTTATACACCCGATTACTGAGAAACTTATACATCTTTCATCCTTTTTATTTTATTTAATAAGTACTGTACATTATGTCAGATCAAGAACGCCACTTTAATTTTGGTAGTTAGTTTGTCTTGTTGAATTTTTTGGAATCGGAACTTTCTTATATTTCCGGCTGCAACACCATCACAATCGTTCAATAATCTACGATTGTTATTTATTGGAATAACTCGGAAAAGTAAAATATTGATCCGGAATCTGACCTTTGATCATTAGTTCCGAGACTATGATGCTAAAAACGGAAACATAACCATAAGTATCTTCTCGCTCGACATTATGATTTTCATTGATTCAGCCGTAGAAAAAACCTTACTTCAGGCACAGTATTGACCGCAGCGGATCTATTTGACGACGCCTCTGCCGATTTCTACGGCGATGCAATTTGTGAAATCTTTCATTAGCATTCACAGATGCTCGTAAGCAAAGACGATATGAAATCACGTGTTTTACATTTGACACGTATTTACTATACCACCTATCCCCATATGTTTTATCCGAATCGCGGGGGAATCGGGTGTTTTATTTGTTGCTGCATGAGTATCAAATAACTATTCAAGGCTTGTATTGTCAAATGATTGAAGCAACGATGCCTAGGCGAGGTTTTGTGTGATGCGAACGAAAAGGGTTTTGGAAAATTTTGTATGTGTCACGTGATCGAATTATCCTTTGTGCGCACCGACACAATAAAAATAATATGTATTGTTTATCATGACGTTTTATTGTAATATGTCGATACACTGTAATTTTACACTTAAATGTTCATGTGTCCATGTGAAGATTTCTCCATCAATCGTTTCATCTTTGGCTCAATCATCCTAGGAAAATGAATTGTCCGAGTCACCAGTTTGGTCATTGATGAGCTTCCTATGTCCTGTGGACATAATTATCCATTATATAAAAAGTACTTTAGGAAAATTGCAAAGGCTTTTTCACAAAAACGAAAGGATTATGAAAATATCACACCCTAAAAATTCCACGATCATGTCTAAAGAGAATTTTGACACGTGAGGCAGAAAGATAGAAATCGGACGTGACAGCCGTCTCATGCAACGGTACTGGCATTCCGCACCATAACGAAATTGAATATTGCCAAAATTGTAAACATGGGAGTTTTCTTATTAATATACCAATCAAATAGCCGTCTATCAAAGGTCTGCGTGCATATGTTTGGTTATTTTCCGTTATCAGCCATTGAAAAATTTTCTAAAACAAAAAAAAAAAACGGACCAATATCAACCAACAATGAGCGTTTGAAATATTTAATTATAGATCCATGTAAAATAAAAATTAAGTACCTACTTTTGTTATTAATAACACAATTACAGTATATTACACGACTGGCAAAAAATATCCGCTATGTACATATACAGTGTTCCCCAACAAATAAAATTAATCGAAAAATGATTTCTAATTTTCTTTTATTAATCGAACAGTTGTTCTCCACAAGGAATTCCATAAACAGTAAAATTTTCATTAAATTTAGACAAACCTTTGTTATTAAATTTTTATTTTAAGTAATCAATTAAAATTAATTAATTATAAAAGTATTATAATGGATTAATAATTATAAATAAATAAATAAATTATTTTATAAAAATATTTTTCAGACATATTCTTATTGAAATATTAAATAAATGTTTGCAATATTATATTGACTATTCATATAATAACTAACTTACCATTATATATTATTAGCTAAAAGATCATATTATTTAAAATATATGAGAAATTTAGAACTAAGTAAAATAAAGTCTAAACTAGATAATTTAAATTAAAATTAAAGAAGAATATTTTATTTCTTTATATATAATATTCAATCTTTATCTACTAGAATTATTGTTAATAATTTGTTGCTATAAATTATTCTAAAAAATAATAAATCATTATATTTTTCTAAAAATATATATATAATTTAAAACTTTTCTAAAAGGTTTTTGATTAATTCAACAATCTTTTTTCAAAAAAAGATTTACTTAATTGTTTCTAAATAATAATATTTTTTAAAAATATTTAAAGAACAAATTTTTCAATCAATATATAGATTTACTTATAATATTTTATATACTAGTACTATACTAAAAGTATTGACTTAACAAAAATTAAAAAATCTCTTTAAAATCTTGCTTATCTAAAACAAAAACTTAAAGATGATTATTTTTTCTTCAAGAATATTTTTTTAAAAAATTTTATAAAAAATAAGAATTAATATATTATATAACTTTTGGCTTCTTTTTTAATATTATAATTATTTTTTTTAAAAACTTGTTTAATTAAAAAATTTTTTTTTAATTATCAATAATTTTTTTATTTAATTTGTTTTTTGTTATATATTCAAAAATATATTTATAGTTTGAATAATTTTTATATATTCATTTATTTATTATTAAAATTATTCTTTTTTAAATACAACTTAAAAAATAATATTTTTTTTTTTTTTATAATTTGAATTATTTTTAAATAATGAAGTTTTATACTTATAAATTATTATTATAAATCTTTTAAAGCTTTATTAAACAAATTAAAAACTTAATTATTTTTATTCAAGACTATATATCTTGTTCACTTTTTTTAAATACTATATATATTATTACTAAATATATTTTCTTAAACAACTTTTTTTCTGATATAAAGTTATTATTTTTTTAGGATTTATTTTTTACTAATAATTATAATTTTTAAGATTTTGTTTTTTATTTTTTTAATTGCAACTAGTATCATATATATATTCTTTATTAAATAATTAAATTCTATAGTAATTATCAATTATTTTATACAAATTATATATTTATATATATATATAGATTAATAATAATCTGTTGTAATTGATATTAGTTAGATCTATTATTATTTTTTGAATAAATAAATCAACTAAGGATTGAATAGTTAATATATAAAATTAAAAGTATTGTTAAACTAGTTAGTATTGAGCTTACAAATTTTATATTTTATTAAATTATTCCTTTTTTATATATATCTAACAGAATTTGCTATACTCTTTAATATTTTCAGATATTATTTACTCAGATCTCAAAAAGATATGTTTTGCCTTCTTTGTAATCATCTGTAGTTAAAGATGGGTCCCTAAAGGGGAAAGTAGGAACAAAAGTCAAATGTCTCTTACTAAGAAAAATTAAAAATTTTAAATTTATAACTATAAAAAAACTACCTACAATTGTTCTCCATTATCTAAATCATTGATTTATAGTATCTTCTAATTTTTGTCCCTATTAAAGTGAAGAGCTATAAATTTTATCCCTCAAAAAGGAACATAAGTAATTTGTGAAATTTTATATGTTAAATACTTTAGGAACTAATCATTACTTATAGTATTAGATCAATCTCTATTGATTAATTTTCAATAAAGTGAAACATCAGATTAGAATATCCTAAACTAAGAAAATAAAGATCCTGGAGAAAGGTCTTAAGATATTTATTATAAGTTATATCTAGTGTTCACAATTTTGATCTAAATCCGATTGATCTATGAATCAGATACGAATCAAATCAAATTAAATTTCAAAATTTTTAATCCAATCGGATTCAGATCGAATCGAATTTTAAATTTACAAAATTTTCGGATTCAAATCAGATTCAAATCGGATTCAGATCAAATCTGATTGGATTCAAATTGGATTCAGATCAAATCCAATATAATTCAAATCAAATATATACCAGTCCATATAAATTGTTATATAATTATTTAATTTCATTTAA